GGTTCTCGAGATATTCCACATTGAATTTTTTTCGGACATTTGTCATGCCACCTTCTCCATATTTATGTGCTCCTGATACATGGTTTGTAATTTCAGCAAAAATTTCTTCCTGGTACTCGATATATTCCATACCAAAATTTCTTCGGAAATTTGGCATGCCATCTCCTCGAGTGTCATGTGCTCCTGATACATGGTTCGAAATTTCTGCGAGAAATTACCTCTGGTTCTCGAGATATTCCACATTGAACTTTTTTCGGACATTTGTCATGCCACCTTCTCAATACTTATGTGTTCCTGATACATGATTCGACATTTCAGCGAGAATTTCCCGGTCGTTTTCGAGATATTCCACATTGAATTTTTTTCGGACATTTGTCATGCTACCTTTTCCATACTAATGTGCTCCTGATACATGGTTTGAAATTTCAGCAAAAATTTCTTCCTGGTTCTCGATATATTCCATATTAAAATTTCTTCGGTAATTTGGCATGCCATCTCCTCGAGTGTCATGTGCTCCTGATACATGGTTCGAAATTTCTGCGAGAAATTACCTCTGGTTCTCGATATATTCCACATAGAAGTTTTTTCGGACATTTGTCATGCCACCTTCTCGATACTTATGTGTTCCTGATACATGATTCGACATTTCAGCGAGAATTTCCCGGTCGTTTTCGAGATATTCCACATTGAATTTTTTTCGGACATTTGTCATGCCATCTCCTCGATTTTCATGTGCTCCTGATACATGGTTCGAAATTTCTGCGAGAATTTGATTTTGGTTCTCGAGATATTCCACATTGAAATTTCTTCGAAAATTTGGCATGCCATCTTCTCCATACTTATGTGCTCCTGATACATGGTTTGAAATTTGAGCAAAAATTTCTTCCTGGTTCTCGATACATTCCATATTAAAATTTCTTCGGAAGTTTGGCATGCCATCTCCTCGAGTGTCATGTGCTCCTGATACATGGTTCGAAATTTCAGCGAGAAATTACCTCTGGTTCTCGATATATTCCACATTGAAGTTTTTTCGGACATTTGTCATGCCACCTTCTCCATACTTATGTGCTCCTGATACATGCTTCGAAATTTCAGCGAGAATTTCCCTCTTGTTCTCGAGATATTCCACACTGAATTTTTTTCGTACATTTGTCATGACATCTCCTCGATTGTTATGTGCTCCTGATACATGGTTCGAAATTTCAGCGAGAATTTGATTCTGGTTCTCGAGATATTCCACATTGAAATTTCTTCGGAAATTTGGCATGCCACCTTCTGCATACATATGTGCTCCTGATACTTGGTTTGAAATTTGAGCAAAAATTTCTTCCTGGTTCTCGATATATTCCATATTAAAATTTCTACGGAAATTTGGCATGCCTCCTCCCCGAGTGTCATGTGGTCCTGATACATGGTTTGAAATTTCAGCGAGAATTTCCCTCTCGTTTTCGAGATATTCCATTGAATTTTTTTCGGACATTTGTCATGCCACCTTCTCCATACTTATGTGCTCCTGATACATGGTTTGAAATTTCAGCGAAAATTTCTTCCTGGTTCTCGATATATACCATACTAAAATTTCTTCGGAAATTTGGCATGCCATCTCCACGAGTGTCATGTGCTCCTGATACATGGTTCGAAATTTCTGCCAGTATTTCCTTCTGCATCTGGAGATATTCTGCATTGATATTTTGCCGAACGTTTGTCGTGCCACTTCCGCGATACTTATGTGCTCCTGATACATGGTTCGGAATTTCAGCGACAATTTCCCTCTGGTTCTCGAGATATTCCAGATTGAATTTTTCTCTGACATTTGTCATGCCATCTCCGCGATACTTGTGTGCTCCTGATACATGGTTTGAAATTTCAGCAAGACTTTCCTGCTGGTTCTCGATACTTTCCACATTGAAGTTTTTTCGGACATTTGTCATGCCATCTCCTCGATTGTCATGTGCTCCTGATACATGGTTCGAAATTTCAGCGACAATTTCCCTCTGGTTCTCGAGATATTCCACACTGAATTTTTTTCTGACATTTGTCATGCCACCTCCCCGGTACTTATGTGCTCCTGTTACATGGTTCGAAATGTCAACGAGAATTTCCCTCTGGTTCTCGAGATATTCCATATTGAATTTTTTTCGGACATTTGTCATGCCATCTCCTCGATTGTCATGTGCTCCTCATACATGGTTCGAAATTTCAGCGAGAATTTCCTTCTGCATCTGGAGATATTCTATATTGATGTTTTGCCGAACATTTATCGTGCCACCTCTTCGATACTTATGTTCTCCTGATACATGGTTTGAAATTTCAACGAGAATTTGCTTCTGGTTCTCGAGATATTCCATATTGAATTTTTTTCGGACATTTGTCATGCCATCTCCTCGATTGTCATGTGCTCCTCATACATGGTTCGAAATTTCAGCGAGAATTTCCTTCTGCATCTGGAGATATTCTATATTGATGTTTTGCCGAACATTTATCGTGCCACCTCTTCGATACTTATGTTCTCCTGATACATGGTTCGAAATTTCAACGAGAATTTTCTTGTGGTTCTCGACATATTCCCCCTAGAAAATCATCCACCATCAGGAACAAACGAATATCCATGAAGTGGCACGACAAGACCGCTCGTAGTGAGGTTCTCCCAGTTCAGCAGCTTTCAACACGATTTTCGCGTATTGAATTTTTGTAATTAATATCGTTTTACATACTTTGGTATATTTGCAATACGATATCAAGGTAAAAATTTCTCACACTTATAGTTTAATTTAGACTATTCAAATTTCTTTCTTTTCTTTATTTCACAGTTTAAGCTGAGCTGTATGTTGAATTGGTTGATAAGTAATCCCCTCAACGTGTCATCTAGAAAGGACGAGGAATCTCACAGGGACAGCGTGGGCAGCGTAGATTTAGGTTTAGTTAAGATTGTTAGTATCTATATATTCATTGGTAGCGCATTCTGCAGAACAATACGCTTTTTACCATAGTATATGTAAAAGAATTTATATTTTTTCTTTAAATATGTAAAATATTTTTAACCAATTATAATTTTGTATTATAATTGTTTTCAGTTTATACTTTGATTTGTATTTTAATATATTATGCTGTAATTTGCTTTTCTATTGGGTTTTTCTTAAAATTTCTTTTGCTGTTCGTTTGCACAATGATAAGAAATTGTGAATATTTTGCAGTCGTATGTCAAAAGGTGTTTCTTTTTTTTTGTTGATTAAATTTATTCTGACGTAGAAAAAATGGGTTTCTATGCTTTGCAACCTCGAGGTGGTGGGACCAGGGTAATTATTATTATTTGTGATACTATTATTATTATTGCATTACTGCAATATAATTATAAATTAATTTACAAATTAATAAACAAATATTATGACCTAATTGGTTGCGATCACGATTTAGTTTTTATGTGATTAAAGGATTTGTTGAGTTATTTGGGAGATCGTTAATTTCTTTAATTATAGATTGAACTTTTTTAGTACTTAGTTTTTTAGTACTTAGTTTGATAACGTATAGTATATTTTTAAATATTGTAGAATATCATGGACTAGATTTTGACGGGTATCTCAAAACATGTGATTTGATAAAATACAATAGACCTATTCTGTGTCTTCGTTTTTATTTGATACCAGGGCCATTCTAAATACATTTCAATAAATATGAAATCCTGTTGTGAATATTCATTTTATCGTTTCCAACGAAAAACCAATCAATGAATTCATAAAACACGAATAGAGTTCTTTCGTTTTGATACACGTATAAATACATAATAAAAAATGGAATAATTTTAAATACTAATCTCGTGTTTTGGAATCTGGATATACAATCAAACATATAATCACAAACGAACTTCACATTTCAGTATCGAAAGTTTGACACTGTAATGGATCTTGAAAATATTGCTGGCGCATTCACTAGTTTCCCAACTCATCGTTGTTTAAACGTAGAGTGCGCTAAAAAATCTGAGATTTTTTTAGTATGTCGGTATTTCATGTCACGAAAGTTGATGCAATGTCTTTTTATATACGTCGTCTAGAGTAGTGCGCTTAGTGATTTTTTTCTTCCGGTCGGTATTTCAGATCTACGAAGTTCCATTTCATGTTTGGTCTATATTATCTTTAGTCAATGGTAATACCATAGATGAGATATGTTTGGTAATACAAATGTTTCATCATAATTCAAACAAATATAATGTAAACATATGTCTGCTCAATAAATAAATTATACATATAATAAGTAATACCAATTAAAGCGTTCTTCATAATTTAATAACTAATATTATTTATTATAATTATTAATTATTCCTATGAATAATGTAAATGAATATAATTAATGAATTCTAGATACTTGCAGCTAAGCTTAATAAATATGAATTATTTTGAATTCATTTTTTGAATTACATCATGTAACATTAATAAAAAATTAGAGTAAAATTTGGCATTGTATAAACGTACATATATATATATATATATTCTGTTAAAAGAGTGAGGTTTTGGTTTCTTAATTTTGATAACATAAACAGTTTGATTTGGAAATAAAAGCCTTTTTGTAACTTCAGAAAAGACGCAATATTATTAAAATTCTATATGTGATCACGTGAGGTTAAAAGATCAGTAGAAATGCTTGAGAGATAACGTTTAATTTATGTCATCAAACTTGTGCAATATCAGTGACCTCAGTATTCAATGTGAAGAATCCTCACACAAAAACATTTTAAAAAGCAATTCTAAGAACATTTATTAAATTATCTCTACTTCGTATCTTTCATGATGTTAAATAAATATTTATTTAAATACTTTTAAATAGGGGTTTATTTTGATATTTACATCAATTTCAAAAAGATTTTTATAAGAAATTTATTATGTATATTTATATTAAAAAAATCATAGTCAGAATCAATAGTACATTTAAAAAGTTGTATGTTAAGTTAATTTTATCAGAAAAAAAATATTTGTCATATTTTATAAAAGAAAATTCTTTTTTTGAAATAAGTAAGACACAAAAATAAAAATTATAAACCTATAGTATAAGAACGACCACCAGGATTATGGATAGGTCCCGGAAAAGGTTCGCTAATACACCATTCATACCATACATTTTTAGAATTACATTGACGCCAAAAATGAACAACTATTTGGTCCCCAGCTTTTAACTGTATTGGTTCCTGTAACGATAAATTATATTTTATATTACGTTTCATTACAATGTAAAGATACAAATTTATCTTACCCTGATCGGGAAAAAAATAGGAAACCAACTAAACATTCCAGGACTATGTGTACTAGGTTTTATACTTAATGTAATGTTATTAAATAAAACAGTATCAAAATATCCAGAAAAGCCATGGAGTACAGAATTTTGTCGTACTTTAAATACTTTTGTGTCATATCTTGAATTATCAGTAATAGTTGCTGAAAGCATAATAATACTTAAAAATTACTAAAATATTAAAATACTAAAAATATTATTCACTTACTAACCATTATTTGGATGTTTAAAAGTAAATAATGGCTGTGGCTTTGCAATGTCATACTTATTTTGTAGATGAACTACGTATGAAGTCTCAAAATGCGCTAGAGAGTGTTTATCTTTATCTCTGCATTGTCTTACTTCATTGTACAATTTAGACGATTGTACTGGGGCAATATATGACGTGTATGAAGTTGGTATACATATACCATCAGCTGATGAAAAATAGTATTAAAAAATTCATAAGAATATACGAGAAAATTCGTTATCAATATTTGTAATGTAATAAAATAATATACGTTTTACAAATCGTTGGATGCCATCCAAACATTCTGGAGAAAGTTCATTATCACCAAAAGAACCAAGTAACTCTGATACTACAATATCAGCATTTTCAGGAGAGTTCCATTCTCTCATATCACAAGATACCACTGTTACTTTGTCCTCCCACAAATCTTTTTCCAATGCTTGTAAACTATATGCACAATAAATTAAAAAGATATATTTCTACATAATGCACGAAAAAGTTTACAATTATTAAATCTTACGTTAATACTGCATTAGGATTTTTTTCCACAGCATATACTTTAATTGGTTGATTTGCTTTTTTTGCTGCATTTAAAGATGCACGAACAAGTGGTCCTCTTCCAGCTCCAACTACCATTATTATTCTAAAAATTAAAATAAAATTTTATATTTTCAAATAGCAATAATTCATTTTCGTAATTATTTATAATTATATTTATATTTAATACATTTTCCTGCTTTTGTCTTCTGATTTAGACCTAACTGCAGAAATTGCTTGATAAATAGCCGTTTGATATTGTGAATATTTAACAGGATCCTTTTCAAATACTTCATATGTTTGAGATTCAAGATTATCCATAAGTGGTTGCAAAGGACATTGCAAGTAATCTTCATAACCGCGAGCATATCTTTCTACTGCTCCATCCGATTCACAATCCTATGTAAAATTGTTATAATAACAATATTTAAATTAAATCACTAATTTTATTACTATTAAAAAAAGTAAATGTATACACATATAAAATTTTACCTTCCATAAGTACTCTAAATAATTGTGATAATAAGTAATACTTTGATATCTATTTTGTCCCGTAAGTACAAACTGTACTTCTAGCATGGCAAATTTTTTCACTAATGCCTGATGTGCTTTACTTAGTACAGGATATCCTTTTTTATTTGTGATAAATAATGTTGTTGGAAAGATTAAACATTTAACTGGTTCTCCTAGCCACCTATCAATCTTATAATTAAATCAACTTCATTACATTTGAGTTTTCATTTTATGAATTAAGAGCACAGAAAATAACAATTTTTTAGATACCTCTTCTTGGTCAGGAAGATCATGACTGACAATTAATGCAACGCCTAATTTTCTATTATAATCACAAACTATTCTGAAAGCATTCCACCATTCCCATGGACTTTCTACTTTACCACAGTCTTCTTCTCTGTAAGAATATGCTTGCTTGATGGGATTTTCCATAGGGACTTGAATCCAAACCTGTAATAATATTAAGACAACTGTGATGTATAATAAATGTATAATAAATTGTTGATCAATACCTGTAAGCTGCACATGCTTGAAACTTTATCACAGATAATTCGGCTAAGATTTGCATTTTCTTTTATTCCTTTTGTCAACTTAAAGGTAACTCCTACAAGACCTAAATGACTTGCTAAAGCTAACTCTTGTTTTAAAGTTTCCTCACTGTTTTTTTTTAGGCTGGGGTTTTTAGAATCTGCTTTAATGTGTGGTGATAATTTACCAATGATTAAAGTATTCCAATCTAGAAAATAGATAATAATATTAATTGTTGTCTTTCAATTTTGTAAGAGTCTTTCAATATACATACCAGAACTGCATAAAACTATGTCTGGTCTAGTAAATGGACCAGCTCGTTTTTTTGCACTTCCAGAAACAAACTCTCTTTTAAATAATGGATGAACAAGTGGAACACATATAAACTCATATCTATAAATAAAATCGATATTAATAATAATGAATAAATGAACAGTAAAATATATGTATATTACAATTTATTACTTACTTTGACGAATTTGCTGTAAAAAGGCAATTGTTCAAATCTGGTGCTGCACAAAAATCAAGACCACAAGAAACTGGTCTTTGATTTGACATTATGCTTTATCATTAAAGTTGATTCCTAAAAGTATTACAAATATGAAACAATGTTCAATAAATAATTTTACTTTACAAACATCGAGTATATATTACCGGTGTTGTTTAATAAAACATTCACTACGTAATACATATAACTTTTTTTTATATAACTATTAAAACACAAATACCTCAGTAATATTGATTAGTAGGCTTATCAATAATGTGTTACAAATAATAAGAAAGTTGTAAAATTGTGTGCATGCCAATTGCACGTGTGACACAATGTATTTTCATCGAAAGCATAAATAAATACATATTGATTTTAATAATTAAATGAAAATATTTAATGAAGACAAATAAAATATATATAATTCATTTAAATACTGAAAAATTAGTTAATTTACTTTAATTACATTTGAATTTACAAAAAAGGAAAATATTCAATTCATACCTCAGTTTGTGTGTTTGTAATCAGTTGTTACATGGAAATTAATTTTGAACTTTGTTTCCATAGCATGAAATATAACATGTAATATATTTTTTTTATTATAGGAAGATTAGATCTCTTCTTCATATAACATATTATATAAATAAAAGAAAATAAAACTTTTAATTTTTTATGTATATTTATCAGATTGCAACGTTAACCAATCAGAAACAGCTGTTGTTTTTGACATCGACCATTTTAAACGCTGCTTTTAATGTTCTAGTTCATGGTAGACGCTTGATGACTCCATTTCCTTGAGCTTACCATTTTACCTCCTTTTCTTGTGCTGTGTAGAAATTACTGCTTTTGTGGTACGTAGTCACTTATTTTTCCATTTCGAATAAGAATTATATATTAAAAATTTCAAATATTATTTAGAGTATTTTGAAAAGAAAGGAAATTTAATACGATAATAAATCTTTTTGAAATTTATTAGTCACATTGTACAGCGTCATTTGGTATGTAAAACATAAATCGTAAAAATTTTGAATAATTATTTTTTCTCTTATACACATATTACTTATATTATCTAAAATTATAAAATATACACAATTATAAATTCTTATTCTTTGAGTAAAAGCTTGAGTAGTTAAATTGTTACAAATTATCTAACTTCTTATATCGGAAATAGACGTCCTTTTAGACTCCATTTATAAATTAAAAATGGGCAATTTAGAAACTTGAGAGTGTGCAGTAGGATAATAAATATTTATATTATCACGCAAGAAATAAAATGTTATAATTTTACTCATAAATAAATAAATATATATTTATAATTAATTAATTAACATATTTTAATTAAATGAATTATATTTATAATTGAATTTTAATTTAAATGAATAAATAAATTATATATATATATATATATATATATGAATGATATATATGCATTATATACATTATTATTATATTATGTGAATATATAAATGTATACATATATTGTAATAATAAAATATTTTCTATCATTATAAAAAATTTGTACTTTATTTCAGATATAATGTCTTTTAATCGAGGGATAAAACGTGATTCTTTTGGGAATCGAAACTTCAACAACCGAGGAGGTGGTGGTGGTGGAGGAAGGGTTGGTAATATGGGAGGAAGTGGAGGTGGTATGGGTGGTAATATGGGTAGTGGAATGGGCGGAGGTGGAGGAGGCGGTGGTGGCGGAGGTGGAGGTGGTGGAAGTGGCGGAATGAATCCTTGGGAAGGAGGAATGATGCCTGGCAGAGGAATTTTACCAACACCTAATAATAATTTGTCTTTAGCATCGCCTCAAGCACAGTTAGCAATAGCTAGCAATCTTCTTACGAACTTACTTCGTACTCAGCAAGAAGCACAACCACAGGTAAGAGAACTTTGTTTATATATTATTCACAATTTTTATATTGTCGTATATTATAAGTAATAATTTGTGTTCATAGCAGGTACCATCACTTCTCAGCCTTGGAAATAACTTTAGTGGACCAGGGCCTAACTTTCCGAATCAACAGAACTTTTCTTCTGGGCGTTTCAATGATCGTCCTGTTAGACATCCAATGAAGAATCAACGACCACAACCGTACAACAAGGTATGAATATATAATTATTAATTAATCTGCAGATCGTTTTGAATGAAAATTGCAAGGGCAATTTGTAGTCTACACTTCTTTTTTTTTATACATCAACAACACCAATCCTTAGTTTGAAAGTTTGAAATTCTCCTTTTTATATTCATTGATCGATTCATTAATGAGGCTTTCAGTTAGTGGATGACATGCTACGTGGCTACCCTGTGCAATTACTAAGTATAAACAATTCTTACTGCTGGACTAGTTGTGCTAAATACGATTTTCATAGGAAAAAATAACCATCACAGTGTTATTTCATTACGAAACACGATAACGAGACGTGTATTGATTTCAAAATATGTGTATTCTCATTTTTAGCAGTGGAAGTTAATTGTGATTTTGTGTAACAAGTTTCAGTATAGATATGCAGATATATTTCTCCTCTAACTTGGTTCATTTATAATCCAACCAAGTCTTCTATTCGTCATTGCAGCTTTAGAAAAGTAGCTGAAGAGTAGTATTCAAAAGTATTGATTACAAGCTACATTGTTCACTGATTTAACTTCTTCTTCTTGTTGATTATTTTTCATTGAGCTTTATTGATGAGCTATATTCAAAGGATAAAAGTATGCGTTATAAATATCATATCTTATGATCAATAAGATCATTGCCTATACAAAGTTAGATGATGCGAAGAGTGTATGCATCTTCAACGATTTGATATTACTTTCCTTTTCCCATCCACTAAGCTGTGGAAATACTGACCTTTGGTGTTTGTTGAAACACTGAATACGTCCTGCTTCCGAATTGAGTAGAATATTTTTCTCCCTCAAATATCCCAGTGGTTTCTAAAACCAAATTCGATTCGAGAAGAATCGCAATTATATCAGATACTTCTCATGACGGTTTGGTCATTTGACCTACATGACTAGATGGGCAATCGCGCCCGTGATGGCCCTGCTGGGCGACGTGGTCCATCTGCACAACAATCTCGTGCACCCCAGTCTGGCAATCAGCGTATGAATGGAAACCAAACTCAACATCACAACGATAAATCTTCTAAACCAATTCCTGCCTCTAAACAAAATCAGACTGCCAAAAAGGAACAGCAGGACGTTAAGACCTCTGATAATGAAAAAACAGAAGCACCTGCTGTAACAAGGTAAGCTCCTGGTGATTGTGAATAGTTTCTTCAAACTTCAGTAAGTCTCATTCTGTCACCTATCTCTGTATGTACGGTGTTTGTTACGTACATATGGTATGATTGCTAAAGAATTAGCATTGTGTCCTTTCTCTTGTCTGACTTTTAAAAAAGTATTGCATACATACGTATATATTCATTTATATATACATATGTCTACATATGTATCATGTTATACATTCACTCGTCATTGTTGATTAAACTCAACTCACATTTCAAATGTAAATTAGATTATCTATAATCTCATAACATTAGTATTTCATAATCATGTAAAATGTTCCCCTTGTGTTCTTCTTTCAATACACATTATCCGAATATTTGTTCATAATAATAGGTTGTTTAAATTTTTATACAGTTGTTAGAAGTGTGAGTTATCTTCTTTTAATTTAATATCATGCCCAGTTTCTTTCTAGTTATCGATTTTGAGAAGTTTGTGTATATGTGTCACTAAAACACATATTAAAGAAATATAATATTTATATCACATTAAACAATGCACAGTAAATTCGATTAACATCTATAATTATAATAAAAATTTTGTTTGTTTGTATACTAGTGGAGAAAATGAAGAATCTGAAGACAAAAAAGATGATTGGAAGGATAATAAAAAGGAGACCGAGGATGCTAAAATTGGAGAGACTGACGAAACAGGAGAAAAGTCTCAAGATAGTGCAGAACAAAAGGCAGACAAACCTGCAATAGAAGAAACAACAGCAAAGGAAATGAATGCGTCTGCAACAGAGAAGGATTCAAAAACGACAGGCAAAAAATCAGAAGCTAGACATGCTGAAAGTCGTTATGCAGAAGTTCCTATGAATCATATGTTCTGTCACATTTGTAATAAGCATATGTGGGATGGATATGTATGTATTTAATACTATATATATTGTATATTGAAATTGATTTTTACTATCTTCCTATTTTTTATAGTCATTTGAAAATCATTTACGAGGGCGAGCGCATCAGTTGATGATGGAAAAGTTAGATGAATCGTATAAATTAAAGGTTGATCTAATGCGGCATGAATTAAGAGTAGCAGAAGAACAACGTGAACTTAGTTTAACTAATTCGAAACGACGCGGTAAAAAAGTAAGTATATGAGTTTAATAACTTATAATATTTTATGTATTTGTTTTTATTTCTTGCTTAGGTATCTGTAGATCTTAATGTACGTGAGTACTGTACAATGTGTGACTTGAATTTCTATGGAACATTATCTACGCATAGAAAGAGTGAGAAACATCAACAACTAAAAACGTTTTTACATCCAAGATGTTTTCCATGTTTAAAAGAATTCCCATCGCGTATTGAGTATGATGAACATTGTTTAACTCCTGGACACATGAAAAAAGCTGTACAATGTGAAGAACAGCGAAAAAATAAAAAGAAAGGTATTTAAAAATGAAAAACTATTTAATTTTTGCAACAAAGTGATATCTTGTAATATTTAAAAATTGTTTAATTTTTGTCTTTTATTCCTATAGAAAAACTTGCAAAAGGAGAATCTGAAGTACGTACAGCTGAAGATGAAGAAAAGGATGTTGGTTCTGATAATAAAAATGAGAAGGAAGAAGATACTGCAGGAGAACAAGAATATATTACGGATATTATCGAAAATTTGGGCGAAAAGAAATTCAAAATTCCATCTTACAAATATTGTCGACAGAATCAAGTTTCCCTTGGTAAATTTCACCGTTTATGAATTTTATTTTTAATTTTTGAATTTTTAGAATTTATTTATTTATGCTGTTTCAGGAAAATCTATGGTGAAAGAAGTTCAAGGATTTTATTGTGAAAAATGTAGAAGATTCATGCTTTTAGCTGAAGATATGAATGCTCATTTACGTAGTATCACTCATTACCGAAATTTCGTACAAGAAGTAAAAACTTTAATTTCAAATATGGAGAGTACAGAACAAAAGCCAACAGCGAAAACTGAGGTATAATTTAATATATGAAAAAATTAGAGCAATGTAAATAGTTGTAGAGTAAAATAAAAAATGAAATTTTTTTATAGACTAATGAAGACACTGAAGAAAACGATAAAGAATACGATGAAAGCTGGAAACGTCGTAAAATAGCTCATTCTGATGACGAGAATAATGTAGAAGTAAAAGAACAAGAAAATGATGCTGAAAATGCAAACGCTCAAAAGAAAGCTGATGGAGATGAAAAGTATGATCCACTTGAAGCTTATGCAGAATCAGAGGAAGAAGAAATTCACGAAGTTGAGAACAGCAATGAACAATCTTCACAAAATGCTGTTAATACTACGGAAAAGAAGACGCCAGTTGATAAAATGTGGGCCGATTTCGATAATGATAACGAAGCAGAAATAGGTAATTTAATTGATGATGGGGATGAAAAAGAGCATGCTGATCATGAAAAGTCTATGCAAAAATCAGACAGAGACCAAAATTCTCCAATAAAACCACGTGGTCGTGGTTTTACACGTGGACGTGCAAGTCCTCGAGCAAGGAGAGGTCGACGATAAAGTGATTTGTACTCAAAATTGAAGTAAGCTTGGGTATATTTTATAATTACATCTCTTAGTACGCCATTTATTAGGTTTCATCTTTGTATTCAATATATTCAATCTATTAATGTTTGTGTAATTTAGCTTGTTACATCTTTTAACAAAATGAAAAAAATTGATGCAACTTAATGTGTATGGCTATTTTTTTTATATGTATAAATCATGATATTATTCATGTATCATTTACAAAAGTAAATGTAAAAAAATATATAATTACCTTACCCAAGCTTATTTGAAACTTTTTAGTTTAGTTTTCTCTTGATTTCGGAAATGTACATCATATCACTTTTTTACATTGATTATTTTTTTTAAATATTCTGACACTTAAAATAATATAATCAATGTATAATGATCTATAATGTACATTTCTAAAATAAAAATAAATAAATAAGATTCTTTTGTGTATTAACACTGATTATCTTATAACTTGTAACTATTCTGTATTAAGAAATGCTATTAATATTCAAGTAAATATAAAACATGTTCATGGTTTTTCAATAGCCATAATATGAGACTATAATAAGATTCATTCCTTGAATTACGCTAATGAAGAATCCCAATATATCTTGCAATAAATTTAAGATATTGATACAAATTTTATCCCGTTTATGTCTAATTATAATAAAATACCTATAATCAAAGTTTACAAGTACCAGAAATAATTACAATAATTGTATTTGCTTTATAATAATGCAGTAGAATTTTATGGTAAGACTAAAGTTTTTGTGACATATAAGGCATTATAACAAAAAGGTTTAATATAAAAATGCACGTTGACAATTGCCTTATAGACTACCGAAATTTGTAACTTCAACACGATAACACTCACCTTGCCTTTGTAGTCAGTATAAAATAATTTAATTTATAATAAAATTTGCGTCCAATAAAAGGTTGTTTCCAACAGCCTTACAATATCTTAGTAACAAGTGATATATAATTCATAATTTCTTTATATTAATCACTTTTATTATCTATTTAAAGCAATTTAATAAAAAACTGACACTATTCTTAAATCATTTAAACAACTTTCATTCCAATATTGGACTTTTTGTATTAGTGTGTAGAAAATATGAAACAATAAATAGTCTAAAAAATAATAATATAGTTTCACCTTCTTAATATGAATACTATTTTATATAATTTTATAAGCTATAAAATGTTTTCCTCAACCCTCATCTGTTCCTTGTTTATTTCTTTTTCTTATGAAATGTGTATAATTGCGAAATAAAAATATAAAATATCTCTGAGAGTAGGAATAGAAATTTATTATATTTACTATTAATAACAAAATTTGGTATTTGGTAGGTATTAATTTTTTATCACTATGTCAATTTGACATAAGAAACAAATTAAGTTGTAAGATTGAGACTGATGAGAGTTAATATACTTAAGACAAAGAAAAGTAATACAAGTAAAAAAAAGCATCTTTTTCAACATAAATTACATAGAAAATATGGTTATTTATACTTAATAACCAAATTTAAAATATATAGCATTAATATTAATCTGTAGAAAGATGCGTTGCTAAAAACTCGTCAACGGAATCAGTATCCCATTTATGTATATCCAGAATATCTTCAACTTTATTGTCTGCATCCAATAACTTAATTATTGGATCTAAGCCTCTGACATATTTTATTTGTAAATTCTTGTATTTACTAGGTCGATCACTTTTTATAAAAGCTGTAAAAAATATGATAAATGTGTGTTATAAACGCATACAGTTCTATCTTTAATGAACAAATTTCTATTTACCTTGGATTTGTGGGTATGCGCCAAATTTGCACGTGCACACTTCCAGAATAGCACGTGGATATTTTTTCAATCCAGATGCATCGTAATCATCATCTTTCAAACAACATTCCTTACAATTACTCCTGTAATTACCAAACAATACTCTTATAATTGTTAATATAAAATGTTAAATTATCACAAAGCAAATGTATTTATTTACTTACAATATTTCTGTTAAACCGTGTTTATTAAATTCCTCACAAGTAGAACAAAGTAAATTAGCCTTATTAAAACCTAAACTTTTACAATCATCAGCTGAAAATTCCGATGATACAACATTCACCTAAAAGAACACATTTATAATGAAAATATATTGTACGTTATATTCCAATTTAATTCAGTGGCAACTTTAATGTATATCAATTCGTTTAAAACATTTTTCATTTGGATGTACATATCGATTCGAATTTAATAGGTTAAGTAACAACATTAGTTTCTTACCATTAAGATAAATGAAAATATATATGGTAATGTTAAAAACTCCATTATATTATTTTATACATATAAAATACATAGAAATCATATGTTATCTTAGAAAAAATAATAATTAACAGGCTTAGACTATAAACACGTATTACATGAACAAATATCTAAAGCACCGTTTTCAATGTTAAAATGGTGTAAGCGATATCGATACTTTATTGTACATTTCTCAACCTATCGAAATCGATGTTGGCAGAATCGCAAAAATAATCAAATTCGAAGTAACCAAAACCCTGGGGCAACAACTATTTTACCAAATCCTTATCAACAATAACCAAATGATCTTTCAACTGGTAACATGAAAAGTTTGAAATAGCGTGTGTAATGCTGAAATTTTCAACTTACACAGTCACTTGGATTTTTACGATCCTTTTGTTAATTGTTCCCGTTATTAAAACCGAGAATTACAATAACATTAATATCCATTTATTTACGTGTCGTTGCCATAATTACAATTATCTTCAAGATTGCGAACCATTACGAAACTCGAATTATCTCTTCGTAAGTTTCTCGTATGTTTTACAAGATTTCATAAGTGTTTTATTAAATGGCACATGTATGTATGATTCGTTGTCTCTTACAAATCGATTTGAAAGTAGTACAAAAGATGCAATTGGCGACGTAAATAAATTGCCACAATTATTAACAGACAAATTGAAAAATATACCAATCCATTCCGAAAGGTTATTAATTACAATATCTTTCAAAGACACGATTAATCGTTTTCTAAATAACACTTTAGTGTCCAATAACGTATTGTCAAAATCTATAGAAGGAAATAGCGAATTTCAAAGCTATCAAGTTGACTATAGATGGAGGCGAAGAGCATTATGCACAATCTCTGAAAATGAAAAATATTTCACTGGAAGTTTGCTTGGAAATAAAGAAAACACAGGTAAAGGAAAGACGCTATTAGATTACGATGAACCAGTTTCCATGAATGACATTGACGATCCAGATTCTTTAAAAACACATGTGCGAGTAAAAAGAAGCAAATCAGAATCGGATCCTGTTTTTGCGTTCAGATACCAACGTAATTATTTAAAAGATTTAGCCAACTCTTTCCCTCGAGACTCGTATGATTCGATAGGAGAAAACCTTTATGACGATGATGTTTCGTTTGATACGAAACGAGAAATCAAATCAGAAGACAAACAATGTGATGAATCTCTAGATGAAAATGGGCCAATTGTGGTTCCTTCGTACCTTAGTGAAGATAAATCCGACGTTAATGACATTATCGGTCTACGGTCTGATATTCGCGGTATAAATACAGGAAAAAGAAATATAAAATTTATAGGTCAAACGAGAAGCAAAGAAACTATATCGTTACAAGAACCATTAAATGACGTTATTGCAAACCAGAAATCATACGAAGATCCGGAAGTCGAGAAATTGCTAGATTCAATGCTAGCAGTAGAACTCGTTAGGAAAAAACGAAACGATTACTCAAAGGTACATGATGAAAGAAATTTAGAAGAGGAAAACTCATCTGATCCACAAAGTGCAATTGATAGAAAAAAAGAATCCAACGAGAAGGAACGATCGATTTTATCGGGATCACGAACAGTTGAGAAGCATTTAAATCCATCGAGTTCAAATATCGCTAATATAAAAGCAGATCTGCTACGAATTAGAAGAAAAGCGAGGAAACGCAGTCGTGACAAAACAAACAAATTAAAACAGAAAAAGAAACATATAGGAAAGAAACACGACGTTTCGAAAGTTTCTCTGCGATCGGATCGATCGAGAATGTCTCGCAAGAGCAAAGCGAATAAAGCGATAGGCGAGGGTAATTTAAAAATAGGAATTGCTAATCTAGTGGCTAAAAAAAATAATGACAACAATTTTCGTCGTAGATCCGTAAAATCGGAAAAATCGATCGATAGAATTGTTTCTGAAAACGATCCTTCGAAATTGAAAAGAGGTAAGAAAAAAATTGACGATGATATCTCGAGATCTTCATTAGTAGGAAGAGCAGGTGGCGCTAATGATTCTAAGGCAGGAACGAACGAGAATTTAAATACATTCGCGACAGAAAATAAAGAGCAGAAAGCGTTCGAAGAAACCGACGAGAAATCGATGATATCGCCACAGAATACAAAATTACGAACGAAACGAAAGAGACATACCGAATCGAATCATGGATTTTTAAATAAGGAAGAGGAATTAAAATATTATGAGAATATACGGGAGCCTGGAACTGAAATCGATCATTGCATTGATGGAGATGAAAATCAACCAGCGATGATCAATGAAATGGATCCTAACCGAGCAGTAAGATCAATCGATGAAGTTAAAAAACTCGTGAAACAATTGGTAACAAAGGTACGCAATTTCTCTAAATTCTTTAATAGTGATGTTCTTACGTTCTCTACAGTCTTTAATGATATTTCTCTACAGGTGAATGAGCTTCAAAGTTATATAAATGTTGATGAAACATCAGGAAAGGAGAAGCAAGAGAAAAAGATAAAAACACGTGCAATCGACGATTTATGTTCGAATGTTAGCACTACTTGCGACGCTTTCAAGGAAACACCTGAAGTTGTTCAGAAATGTGTACCGACAAATCGTGGTGGATCGGTGGTCAAGATTGTCGAAAGAAAAGTGAATCCAGTTAATGATCATAAACGTGTTAACATTCCAAGCAAACGTTCGTTAGAGAAAAAGAGATCAGTGACCAGACGCGTTGGTAGAACATCGCCAAGAACTTCAAGAACAATTCGCGAAGAAAATGAAATAAAGTCAGGTCGTAAATGGGGCAAATGGACAGACTGGAGTAGCTGTAGCACTACATGTGGTAAAGGTCGTCAAATAAGATGGCGATATTGTTTACGCGATTGTAGTACTGCAGAAACTGAAATGGAAGAGAAGGCTTGTCAATTGCCAGCTTGTCCACCAGGAAAATTCCTCGGTATATTTTAGTGGTTTTAGAGTCTCTTTGCTTATAATAATAATAATAATAATAATGACTATTAATGTCTGCATTGTAACTTTGTATGCCGATATACGTAAGATTATGGCACATCTTATGTAAAAATTTCAAAGAAAAAGTATTTTATTAAATAAAAAATTGGAAACAAACATAATTAATATTGATTAATGAATCATGTGGCTAATTAAGAAACAAACGACGTCAACACTGTTGTGTAACAAATCGCATGATGTATATTTTTTTCGTTTCATTAGTAAATACACAATATATAGAATATTTTAAACAAAACTTCTTTTCTTTGTATGCATTCACAAGTAACGAGTTTTCGTTGCTTATAGGAAGTTTTTGTTTTTTTTTTCCACTGTAGCTGTAATCCAATCATTATGTTTTCACAAAAAATCATCAACTACGACGTACGTATTTCATTTTTGTAATTTCTTTAATGCCTTGGAGTAGTTCCTACGTCACTACGGGTCTTCGCGTTCTAATCTTTCTACTGTTCAATTTAATACTCAAACTCATAGTCTCATCTGATGTCGAGTTCCCGCAGCGTCCGTTTTTAACATACTAACGCCGAAGATATATAAATCAGACGCCGGTGAATGTAGCTTATCAATGGATCGATAGCGATCAGCAGGTTAAGCACACACCATGCGCGAACTGGACTTAGGATGGGGGATCATTTTCATGGCCAGCCTAGAGGCCCAAGCGTCTTGGGATAGGGATCGTCGACATTAGACCGAATGATGAGTTTGATAGCAGCTCCGAGATGAAACGCGCTTCCTTTTCCATTTTTATCCTACCTTACCGATACGATCCCAAAATTGCTACGTTCCCATAGCGCAGTAAGTCCTGGCATTTTTATTAAAATAGCAGATGCCCCCTTGGGACGTGACAAATATCACAAAATATGAACGACCGTAAGTGAACTATTGGAAGTACTCGCAAATATCTTATAGTACCATTTCGAAACAGTTGTTCCGTAAATGTACAACCACTCAACTCAGTGAATCACATTGTATTCTTTTCCTTACAGTTCACACGTATTTTTTTTTTTTACACTCGTTAAATTTTTTTATCGTACACATTCTTTATTTAAAAGTCGCTCATTTGTTTCTCATTTATATTTTGTTGCTTATAAACTAGTATTATCGTGTAAATCGTATAAACATGACTTCCTTTTTGTGACACTTAGTAATATATAAGTCGTTGAAAAATTTCGAAATATAAGGCTCTCGAAACGCTTCTCGTGTAAATCGTAATTCCTTATTTTAAGTCGGAGAAAAAGAGAGGGATAACAAAAAGTCGGTGTTTACGTTATTAACGTTTACGTATCTACAATGAAATGATATACATTCGTCTACGTGACCACACGTAGACAAAGATCACAGTAACTGGTTGCGCCCCGGGTGCACCAAATCAGTAAAATATGAAATCGCTAAATCGACGCAACACGGGACGGTAATAAGCACAGTTTTTCACATCTGATCAGGCACCATCGCATCAAGAGTCGCGTATCGCCGTCTTACAGATTAAAATTCGCTGGTTATTGTTAATAATTTCGTAAGATCGTAGCTATTCGTTGACTGTGGTTACAAAGTGCAGAATATTCCACACGGCAGCTTCACCATGAATAGTTTCGTAAACGGCTCTATTTCTCGAGTTCGCCTTCGAATATTTAAACGACAATCTATTGCATTTCTCGTTCCATATACACATCGTTCCATTTCTACGAGACGATTAAATGTTATATACAAAATACACACAATTTAAATTGAACGAACTTCGCTATGAATTACCAAGTCGCGATGATCAGAGGATTCAATATGAATTTTTCTTTTTACTCTTGCCAGTTATGAACTTCTCGCATTACATTTCTTTAATATAGGAGTATTTATTAACAATGCCAAAGTTTATGAATCATAGCATGAAAACTTGAGTCGACTGACGTACAAAATACGGAGTAAAATGTACTCTTCTGATCGCAGGAGCTATTTCGGAACATGTTTTATAACGATAACTTAATGCTTAAAAAAGAGGCGATGGCAATGATCATGACATTTAAGAAAACGTGCTATGATCATTTTCTAAAAAAACAAGAGATCTCGTTGTTGTCCTAATATCTTGCTTGTCCAAGGGACCACTTACAAATACAGATTGATCACAATGGTAATAGCATACATGCTCACGAATAGTAAATTACGCATACATTGCCGCACAACTGCATTAGGACATTCGTTCATTTCTAAATGAATCTATAATAGAATATAATGTAACATTGTTTGAATATTAAAAACTGAAGAATTTAATCATTTAAATTTCTTAAATAATTAAAAGTTCATACGATGTGCCTACGCTGCATTATGTTGCATGCGGACGGTTTTTGAAGTTTCTTTCTTTTATTTATGATGGCTTTAGATTTAGAACATTGTAGAGTTAGAATTATTATCCAACGCAATGAAATTTCAGACGGAAGGATACAATTATTTGTCTGTAAAAAGATCTGTAAGATTTAGAATGTATACAAAGGTTTATTAAAACGTTGAAAGATGAAAAGAACAGTACCAGAAATAAATAAAATTAAGAATGAAACAATTTCAGTGGCAGTAATAAAAAGGCGACTTGTATAGAGTAGTATTTTTGGTTGTTAAAATATCAAGTATACAAAATAAGATAAGGAAAAGACAAGGTTTAGATTATTCTTAGAATTTTAAGAATAATTTATATATATAAATTGATGCGAATGTCTCTCTTTCAAATTTTAGGACTATTTATTTCTACGTTTGCGAAACAATTTACCAGAGTTACTTATAATCAACAGAGCGAACTAGTGTTCACCAGTCAACACCTCTTAGAAAAATTGTGAGATTAAAATATTCCCAAATAAAATATTGGTAAAAATATTTTTGGGAACTTTTAGAAATGTAATGGAACGATATCAGCCCTGAAACAATAAAAAAATTAGTGGCTAGACTATCAAGATTTGTTGACGCAGTTATAAAAGCATTCGGTGGATACATAGATGAAAAGATAATATAATTTTTATCGTAATTGACGAGAAATTTGGTGAATTATTGGTAAAATATATTCTCTAATACGTTACAAAATAGAATACACACAATTTAGTGAAATTCAATAATCAGTTCGTAACACTTCACGTAATTATTACGATTAAACAAGAATCCTAATACACAGGCGGCAGTATACGTTCGCTTTCTTTTTAAACACGCGCACATACTCTTACATAACTGTGTTAATGTCTTTTGACCACCGATACTTAAAATCTGTTAATAAATCAAGTTCTAATTGTTTCCTGCCTAAAAGGGAGTAGAAATTGTCGGTCCTCTGATCGTTAACGACAACATTAAGTTGCACTTCTTTTCTATATTCACTTCACTGAATGATACACGTTTTTTGTGTAAAACTTGAACTCATTTTTATGATACAGATACCAATCGATGAAATTACGTCTTATATACAAGATTCGGAGTTTCTTCGACTGATACATTTATGATGTAAAAATGAGCTCAAGCTTTACATGAATAAACAAACAACACGTACCATTTAGTGCAGTCAAGGTAGAAAAAAAAGTGCAACTTAACTATCGTTACGACCAGGGGACCGACAATTTAGGCAGAAAACAATTAGAACTTGATTTTCACGAAACCTGAGTTCGTTAAAACATTATGTTCCTTGATTCTTCAGTTTTTGTTGTTTGCGACAATATATTTAATGGTACGTTATCCTCGCCACCGGCTAAAACTCGAACATCTCTATCCAGGTCTAATCTCATTTCTGCGAGCCTATTCTCCACTTCTTCCGCCTCCTTAACTCCCAACCATTCTGCTAAAAATTAAGGCACTTGAGTATATTTGAAGTTTTTGTAACGTAATTGTTTGAACAAAAAAAAGATTACAAATGAATACTTACATCCCATAGGTACGACGTTCTCCGACAAAGTCCTCGCTACAACTAGTCTCACGTTTGGTACTTTGTCAGAAGATATTTCCAACAAGGTAGGCAACATCTCTTGCGAAAACCTGTCTCCGCTCATGGCATTGCTTGAAATTATTTTAGCGCACAGGGAGGCAAACGTCTGTCTTTTGATCCATTTTTTTGCGTATACGAGGGACTTGAGCTTTCGGAACAGCGCCTTCACCAGGCGATTGTTGTCTGAAAGATGCGCCACTATTTGCGTCATCTACGTAGACGCCGAAGTAAAGATACAAAACGAATATTAGTAACGTTAAAGAGCTGACAATTCAAGACAAAAAATAAATAAAACCGTACCAAAGAAAGCGCAACGTGTCTCACAGCGGCGACCTTGTCGCGCAGCAGCTCGAGAGCCAATGGGACGATGTACCGATCAACGTTCACAGGATCGAACAGATTTACAATTTCCAATAACTGAGTAGCCAGTTCCTCTCGAAATCTCCAGTTCCACTCGTTATCGGTGGCGAGGAAATCTTTCAGGTTTGGTAGGTACTGGACCCGAACGGCAGGCTTGAGTATTTTCAAAAACGTCGCTAAATGCTTGAGCATACCTATTCTAACTTCGTCCAGGTCTTTGATGAATCCATCATAGATCGGGATTAGATCACTGACAGTCAATTCCTCCCCGAGTATGATGGCGATCTCGTGAATGCTGGAGGCTACCGTGTGCCTCACTTTCCACTGTTTCGCGTTCGCCAGGGATTGGTAAGCATGCTTCAGGTATTTCCAATTATCTTTCCCCAACGTAAGTACAACCGCGGGAAAACTAAATGCACAATGTTGAGGAATATCCGGGCCCATGTCGCCGAAACACTGGTCCGGCTCGGCCATCGTCAGGAACGAATCGATCAGATGCCGAGGCACGATCTCTTGATATCCCAGATTGGCAGATTCGAGTTTGTCTGCTGGGTATTTATCTTCTTTTAGCACGTCGTCCAACAACGACGCTATAGTAGACGCCGTTGTAACATTGGCCAACGGTTTCCAATCAACGTTGTTCTGCGCGGCGGATCTTTTGGCAGCTTCGACGAGTTCGTCGTCCAGCGGAAGGGCAGGTTCTATGTAGTAATATAGGAACGAATTGAAGTTCTCTGCGTCGTCTAACGTTTGTTCGTTCTTCAGATGCTTCCTCTGTATCTGAAAGAAATTCACGAGATCATTCTCGTCACCCTCTCGAGCCGGAGAACGAATAAGGAGGAAACAATCTCGAGACGTTTCACGAATATTCAATCCCGTTTATGACCCGTTACCCGCCATAACCGGCGAATGAAATAGAATTACGCTAATGGCTATTTTCAAGGAAATAGAAAGGCAAATGAGTTCGCAAACCGTCGGGGGTTCGTTACTTACGGACGCGTCGTACCTTATGATCTCTCATTGTGGAAATATGGTCTTCCTGAGACTCGTCCTCGTCGTCCTCGTCCTCCTCCTTCTCTTCGAGAATTGGTTTTTGCGTTATCACAGATGGATCCGAGTTGTCCTCAGAATTACGATCTTCCGCGTCGAGTGTGTGACTTCGTACCGCACACTTCATCGGGAATATTCCTTCGTACAAATATCTTATACTGCAAGAACACATCATCGATCTACGTTTTATTCTTTCTTTCTTTCTTTCTTTCTTTCTTTCTTTCTCGGAAATTACAATGCGAGTGTCTCTGAACAGAGTCGAGAACGAGGGTAAAACAGCTTTTTATACCTGAAACGATTATCCTGTTGACTGGTGAACACTAGTTCGCCCTGTTGATTATAAGTAACTCCGGTAAATTGTTTCGCAAACGTAGAAATAAATGGTCCTAAAATTTGAAAGGCAGACATTCGCACCAATTTCGATTCGTCGTTCAGATGCGTGGCCAAAAGGTCTGCTAGCAGTAATCGACGATGCTCAAGGGTCATACAGCACGAGACAGGCATCATAACGTCCACGCACGCTTTCCTGATGCTCCATATTTCGTCATAGCACAAATCGACGAATATCGGGAACTGCAACGTGATCAGAAGGACGTTAAGAAAGGAACGACTTTCATTTTCGTCAAGTACGTCCAACAGCGAGCGTCGATCTCGGCAATGTTTATGCCAAATTTGAAAAAGGTAAAACTTAAAATTTTCCTTAGAATTTCTAAAAAACAGAAGATTATGAAATTTAAACGAAAACAGTTGAACAGTTTGAAGGAAATTCACGAGAAGAACTTACCAATCTTCGAAAAAGAGTTTTTCTGCGGACAGCGGTGCACATTTCACCAAAATGCGACGCGCAAACCTTTCTTATGAAGAATTCGCTATCCCCGCAGAGGGCGATGAAGTTGTCCAGGAAAATCCTTTCCGTCATCTCTTTACCGATAAGCGGTGCCATCTTGCACATGAGCTGCGGATCGACAACAATGTACACGATATATTCCTTACGAATTTTTTTGCATTTTCGATGGTAAAACAAACGTGATACGATGGAGAAACAAAGAGATCAGTGACAAAGAAAATTGGAGGTAACAAATATACGCACAAATATGTACGAAATATCTTGCGCACGCACATGTGTATGTTGTTTCTGGATATACCTACATATTATGACGCTTAATTTAAAAGAGGAAGTCAAATGAAATAAATAGTATTCAAATTTGGTTTGGTGGTATCGCCTAGATCGCACAAGACTACAGTGAACGAAGACATAAATCGCACCGTTCCGCTTATCAAAGCTGGCTGTGATACGAGTCCAAGTCACCACATCACAACCACTCTGATAGGAGGAACAGCCGAATTTGCGCCTCTTAAATATCTGGAAAAAAAGAGGAACAACAGGTACAACGCATCACCGTCGTCAGATGATGATGGCCAGTAAGTACATAGAGGATCAAATGAGCTCGGAGATCGTTTCGCGACGAGTACCTTCTTTCGGCGCCCGCATCTGCACGAATCAGAAGGTCATTGTGCGATGATCAAACGAATTAGAAAGAGGTGAATCACCCAATCGTCGTTCAACGATCGTGAAACACTACTGTACACTACGCAACACTGCTTTTCTGTCCTACTTTATATCTCTCTGTGTCAAGTTTTTATATTACCCAGTATTTGTAGGGATACATCAAGTCTTCGATCGCGTAAAGCACATGCACATGTACCACCGTGTAGATTGTTATTAAATTGCGGATTTTTCATACGTTTATACGTGCACGCATGTATAAAATATATCAAAATATCCAAAGCAGATGAAGCGAGTTTTTATTTAGATTCTTTAATTATGGATATAAAAGTATAAATACAGTACTGATAAAATATACAAATATCCAAAGTAGGACATTTATAATATTTAACAGATGATAACGAATCTCTATTTTACGCTCCTTTCTTTTATTTTCACGCACGTTGCACAAAAATCCGCAGTCTAATTATCTTACGAAACGACGTCAAATTCTATTATCCTTCATTTGAATTTTATCTTTTAACTGGACACATTTTACAATTACATTCAATTGAAAGACAATGAAAGAAACTCCGGAGCAATCATCACGCATAAGAAAGTCATCTCGGGATCGTCGTTCAATAAACGCGATCACGTCCTTCGTGGATCCTGCGAATCCATGAGAGGAAGTCGACTATGAAAGAGCGGACGGTCTTTCCCGAAAGTGGAAACTGCGCCGGAGAGGTCGGCCTCCGTATCGGGACTGTCGGTCGGAAATGTTTTTCTTGAAAATGGCTTACGACGGAACGCTGTGTTTCGCGGGAAAACGATCGAGAATGGATCTTCGTGCCTCGCTCGATTTACAGATAAACCGAGTCTCTCGCCTCCTGATACAACAGAAAGAAAAATCGACATCGAGGTCTACGACACGAAGCTGTGTCCATCTGTAATGATCTTACATTTCAAACCTCGACGAACACGCACACACACACACACACACAGAAAGAAAATAGTTGATTAAACGCGACGCCGCGCTCATCAAAGCTGGCTGTGATATGAACATTTGCATCAGCATATCACAACCACTTTGTGAGCGATGCATCCGCGCTTTTTTTTTCCGAATGTTTCCTAAAAGCAGTGACGAGCAAGCTTGACAACGATTAGTCAATCTCCTCCGCGTCTCTTTAATTCTATCTAACATCACTACTACCCTAACCATCGTCGGAACGGATTGCCTCGAATCGATTGCCTTCTCACAAGGCACGTTGCAAAAAACGGCGATCCAAATCGTCAAAAATGGCTGTGATATGAAATCTAGAAAAGCAACACGCCACAACCAATTTGACGATTGGATCGCGTTGCTTCTCTCGTTCTTCGTGGTTTTTTTCTCTCTTCTCGGTTCCGGCCGGATCTAATGTCTGTCTCTCGGTCTTCCCACGATGATCGTCCAGGAGGAAAAAAAAAAAAAAAAAAACACGATGCTGCTGCTGCTGCTGCTATCGACTCTCGATCGTTGCGTGTCTCTTGCAACGTCAGACTTGAAAATCAGAATGAAAATTAAATCTTAAAGACGGTTACTCGCTGTCTGTTCCGAATGTATTCGTCGTGGATGATTATTCGTTAAGCGGACACTAAGTACACTACTCGTACAGCGCACACGAACATGCTCTCTCCCTTGACGATCGATTCTGCGGGCCAAGCTCATCAAAATGGCTGTGATATGACTCGAAACATTCCACAACCAATTTGATGTATCGGACCGCAAAAGGTATTTTCATTTCGGTGCCTGTATACGTCGCTCGTGTCCCGCTGTCTCTCTCTCTCTCTTTCTCTGTTCGTGCCGAATCCGTATGTATGTGTTCGTCGTACGTGTTCCTCTCGTTTCACCTCAATTCTGCGAGAGATACAAACGGCACGTTCGGCTGCTTTCCGCTTTCTCTCTTCCTCTCTGATAATTATTTCCACGTTTCTCTTTTGTTTTCCTTTTTTTTTTTTTTGGAGCAGGTGAGAGGGGGAGGAGAAGGGGAGGTTCTGTTTCCACCTCGCCCTTCCCTCCTTTCCTCTTCCGGTTCGATTTTTTTTTCCGTCGAATTGTGCGCCGTGGACGGACACAATTTTGCTCATCAAAGCTGGCTGTGATAGTCGAACTCTATGACAAACCAACTTTGATGGTAAAAGCATGTCCCTGCCGAGGGTTCCGTGGTCTCTTCCTCGCCGTCATAACGTAGAAATCGTTTCGAGATCTACCTCCTCGTTGATTTTTCGTTTGATTTCTAATTAAAACGACACGGTGTTTAACCCTCGCGCTACGGTTCAGCTGATGTTGGAGGGTGCTTTAACGATTAGTAGTTCAATATCTTTAACTTTTAATGTTATTCGTCGTTCAAAAAGTTTGGAGGGTCTTGTCAATTTTGGGATAAAACCACGTTTATATTAACAGATAAGATTACGTTATTGAAGATATTTACGAATCGTTGCTATTTTAATTATATTTATGACTGGATGAAAATTGATAGTTGCTCCAAACTTTTGGATACCGAATATGGCGGACTAAAAATCATAGTGACGTAAAATGTTCTATTTTCATTAATACAAGAGGTCTTGATGTATTTTTCAACGTTGAAAATTCATCTGCAAATTGTGAATAATTCATATTCTTGAAATTTCGTCTTACACCATCGCAATTCTTAGTCTTTCATGTACATTAACAATATATTATAAAATAAGTACAAATCAAAGCACGTAACGATAAATAAATTGTTCGGAGGCCACACTGATTAATTCCAGAAATTGGAAAGTAACGAAATAACAACAATTTCAATAACAATTTCTCAAATTCCCCTTGAAATTTACTGTCACTATATTACAGAGCTAGCAATTCGTTCCTTGAGAACAATTCTGTCCCTTCCTCGTTCGAACATTAATCGTATACTGAAATCCAGAAATTAACAAAAACTGGAATTGATCAGTTTGGCTTCCAAGGGACTCATACAACGCCATATAAAGAAGAGAGCCACCCATAATGGCTTTTCATCTCGTGGGAAGCCACCAGCAGTGACAGGCAGCGTACCCGAAGAGGATACCTGAGCCACGAACGCGGACAAAATTTACCAAACTAAAGCTGTAAAATTAAACGTCCCAACTGCGAAGTCCATATTTTCTCATCGTTGGTTCTACGTCTTCTTCGTTTATCGGCGAACGTCGTGGTAGAACAGACGCCGGATGAAAGACAAGATAGTGAGACGCGATAGCGTGAGAACATCTCACTACCCATGTCTTTCAAGCGGAATCTGTCCGAAGGGCGGCGCGTAAAAGGTCCAACGACCATAAACGCGAAGGACAACATCGATACAACCTGGTACTTATGTGCCTTCTAGATCGCCGGCGATACATATTCCTTGCATACGATCGGGATCGTCGAGTCGAATGGATCAAGAATGCTAGACGCGAGGGGCCAGTCTCGCCTTGTTCTCCTCCACGCTACCGTACTTTCAATGGGGACACACGTTCACCCTCCCGGGCAATTCTTTACATACGTATTCTTTAATTAAACGACAGTCGACGACGATCGTGCTACGGTCCGTTTGAATGGGAAAAACTGAAATTACGCTGCCGCGCCCGATGGAATGTTAAACAGGGGAGGACGGCGGTTTAAAGAAAGAGAGGAGAAATGATTCTGCGATTCAGGTTCCATTCGTTCCTCGAAAACACGGGGAAAAAGTTATCGTAGATTTACGAATCTTGTATTACGAATAGAGGAATTGATAAAATGGCAGATGATCTTCGCCGGATAGGGGTAGTTTTTTTTTTTTTTTTTTTATCGATAGATTCGATCGTTCGAATGGCTCGATTGTAACGTTCTATCTAACGCTTTTTTCTTTTTTTTTTTTTTATTTCTCGGAGATATGTTGAAATGTTTGAAATGACTCGTATTTGTGTTATCTCCTAAGTACACTGCCGCTCTAAAGTTTTAGAGCGTGTTTAAGATTTCGAAAGAAATAATGACTTCCTTAGGCAAATATAAATATCTTGTTTATGATATTTGTTAGCGGCGACGTGATTTCGTGACTGTTCGAAGGCAGATAGCCCGGCGCTACTCAGCTTTCTGTAATTTACGACCGAACCGGGACCGAACCGGGACCCAACCGGGAACTCGGGGAATTCCAACAAATGTAGGGAAATGATTGCAGTTGCTTTGTTTTCGTAGGAGATGTTGCAATGAAAAGAGAACGGCGACAAACCTGGTAAGAGTTTGTGTTTGGTCGCTCAGGAAACTAACGTATCAACATTTTCAAGCACACGAAACTGCGATTATGTTGAAAAATGGAAGCTTATAATTGTAATATTCGTACCTCGGAAAAATCTTCGATAATTTCGGTAATATACAGTTAGCATAAATGTACAGGTTACAGAGTAATAATTAATTGTTTCGAAACGAATGAAAAAAATTCATCGAAGGGCAGAATTAATGTCTCTCTATTGTTCTAAAGTATTTCTCAAAAATGTAAATGTGTAACGCTACTCACGTTAAACGACGGATTGCGACGAAGGAGAAGGATAACAAAATTTAAAATTAAAATCTTGAATGAAAAAATGAGAAAAAAAAAAAATGAACAAACCACAAAAAAACATACACAGAAAAAAAAGAAGAAGAAGAAGAAGAATATGTAGAAACTTACAGAGATGCCGGAGAAATCGGCGGACGTACACAAAGATTCTATAACGGGGCAGAATTTGGTCTCTATCGTGGTGTTATCGAAGAACCCTCTTTTAGTGAGCAGTAATACTGCTGTCTGTGCTGTCATTCGTATCTGTATAAATAACCAAAGAAAAAACAAAAATAGAGTCCATCAGTACATAGAGAACTTGAATTTTTTTTTTGGCACGTTTAGGTTATTTCGTGCAGAAACAATATGGAATGGCCTGCTCAAAAGTCTTAAGAACTTTCACTTTTTTTTTATTACCTTTAGTAACAAACATTTTCATTGTAAATAAAATTTTTAAACTGCACATGATTTTTATAAAACAATTGTTGATAGACTCGCATGGATTCTTTGTTACGATAAAGTCATACTTATTTTGTAGTACATGTTCCAAGATCTTTGAGCGGGGTTGTACGTGTCATAAATAGACTGCGGATGTATTTATGCAATTTTTTAGTTTCATAAAGATGATTCAAAAATAAAGAACCTGGATAGAGAACTATTTCATTCGTTAAATATTACAAAGAGCAAGATCATATGATTTAGAGATTTTATATATTTTTATATTTTTATTAGACATTTTATATATTTTTATATATTTTTAATAAATGTATCCGCAGTCTAACTATAAGAGAGAAGAATGTTCATCGATGAATCAGTACGGAGTTTGTCGGTCATATAGCATCAACACGCGTTTTGTAAAATATCATGGATTTATATAGATACAAAATAAAATAAAATTGTTTTTAAGAAGCTCAATGCAAAAAAATGAAGAATTATGTTATTACTCGATCTGTAATAAATATATGGTACACTTTCGCTGAAAAGTTTCGAGCACGCTTTTCCTTTTACATGAAAATAAACTTCTTTTCATTTTCACTCGAGGAACATAAATACGGCAATTGTAAATCTCACTTTTAAATTTAATTAATTACAATTTCAATACCTGAAAATACGAAAAATGTACGTCTATATGCTTGTTCGATACATACATTTATTTCTTTTGAACTCCCAACGTGCTCCAAGCTTTTCGGCGTGAGTTATACGGGTTTGTTACACCAACAAAGAATTTAATCGCGTACGAAATATTCACCTGATTATCTTGATCTTTTAGATATCTGATAATGATGCTGGTCACATAATCGTAGATAACTTCCTCGTGCGGCGTGCCGCAAGAGATCGTCGCCACGTGTGGAATATGTTCTATCAGGTCCAGTCGGATTTGCATGTCTAAAATCAGAAATAATCGATTTTTGATCGCTTCGTTTGAATACGTGTCAGTTTCGTCTTGCTGTTGATACATTCCCGTCTGTTTCTCGTCCGTTTCGTAGAAACAAATTCTCTTCTCGCGACAAGGATTCCCCTTCGGACAGTTATAAATGGTCTGACGGTGTAGAAAAGAACAAAACGGCCATTCCCCGTCGTTCCATTGAAGAGAACTCAACGTGGCGAAACAGGCCACGAATGCAAATTTATTTTAATTGGCGCCGATACGATCGAATCGGCGATATTCGCCAGATTTCCCTTAAATAATTAATCACTCGGAATGCTCACTCGGTCGTGGCCGAGGATTTCTGCGAATCTAACGTTGCTTCTGCGGAGCGACGAATAAAAATTCCTATTGAAAAACAGGGAGAAGCAAGAGAGAAAAGAAAAAGAAAAGGAAAGAAAAAAAAAAAAAAGAAAGAAGGCGAGAGAGTTTCTAAACGTCGATTTTCTAAACGAGGAAAGAAACCGACTTATGGTGTTCCAAGGAGGAATCCGATCGTTTCTTTGCAACTCACGATCGGCCGCTAGCCGACACAGCCATTCGTGCGTCGAAAGCGAGAAGAATAGGAGGAAAAGGCACGGGTGAGGGCCGTTTCTTCGACCGTTTACCCGACCTCGACCATTTTCCTAACCGGACGTTTTCATGAAAATACTTGAACGAAGAAGAGAGAGGCCCCTGCTGATTATAATAAAAACTCACTGGCCTCTCCGCACAGAACGTGAATCGTTTTCGGCCGTTAGCCGTTAGTCGATGGAACGTTTCTATATCTTCGATTATAAAATTCAAATGTACCGAATTATTAAGCTGGAGATTACGTTTCGGCGAGGATCCATTGTTTCAACATTTTTTCCCTAGAGAAGAGAAAAAAACGACTACGCACCATTATGCATATTTTTCACCCTCTGGCTTAGCCTCCTCAAAAACTTGAAACTTCGCGATACAACTAGCAATTGTTGCCCATTGGAGAGGCGCACGCGATTTCGTATTACTTTGGACTGCATCGTGGTGAATTAACACGTGGAAAGACTCGAGATGATATATCCCAACGTGGCACTTTATTTACTTCCACGTACAACACACCCCGGGCAAAGATCGCTCTCGGGAGGAGAGAACCAAGCAGATGGAACGTGCACTTCAGAGAAACATGCGAGCAACGCGTGATATACACTCGGTTCAATACACTCCGGAGAGATAACGCTCAGAAAATTCTCTGAACGTAGGCTAAGGCCTACACCCTTCGAACCGAGACCTAGGTATCCCTGAGAACGCGCGGCAACATCGGAGAAGACACATCACGACCGACGAGCGTGGGTGCAACTAAGGATCATTCAGTTCGTCGTGGGAAATGCTCGATTTGTCGGACTTTTCCAGTGGGGGTGGGGGAGAGGTGGTGGAGGACCAGGAGGGTAGCGAACCCCCCACCACACTCGACTGCAAGGCCCAACTAATCGGTGTTTAGGAGGGGATAGGGAATTGTCGACAAAATGGAGTTCGTTTCCGCCGCGTTACGTGAGGCCCATGAACCGAATGTTGCTTTTCTCTGTCCTCTCGCTCTCTCTCGTTCGTGAGGCACGTGCTCGAATATTGCTTTTCTCTGTCCTCTCGCTCTCTCTCTCTCTCGTTCGTTTCGCCTTCCTTTTGTTTTTTTGCTGGTCGAGGCAACGCCAGTTTTCCGACGAAGAGACGCTCGCATTTTCTTTTTCCTATACAAGACTGATTCATAAATCAAGCGCTGGGTCTTCTCTCCTTCCCCACTTATTCTACCCTTGCGTCTTCTGTCCAGGACACGAGGTCCCGCCAGAAATATTCCTGCAGGATCAAGCGTCACCGATTATTCACCCAACTGGCATGGCTTCGTTCTCCTTCACCGACGCCCTTCGTCCTCGTCCATTTTGTCGATCGTTCGAATGACTCATTGTTGACAATGTTCGACACGTTCGAAAAGATGCTGCGCATTTCCCTTCCCTGGAGCGGTTTCTTCTCCCATCGACCACGTGGGTCACGCTCACATTTGGCGCCAATATTTCGCGTACGGTTCTAGAAATTTCGGATTTTTCCGAGTTTTTCGACGCTGTCTCATTGGTAGACAGTTTCCTCGAATTACGACGCGAGAATAACGAAGGACTGAAGGTAGACAGACTTGATACTTAAATTATGTTTACCGAAAGAGAAAGGCAAAGGGTAAGTCTCAAGTAAGAGAATAAATAAATACTTGGCTCGATATTTGAATGTTTTATTTTTGAGAAGGTATTTTATATATTTACGGAAAAGGGAGGAGGAACCTTTGTATAAATTACAAATTCAAGAGTCTAGAAAAATCTATCAGCGATGAATATGAGTTGTAGCGTATTTGAAGCCCACTTATTGCAATTTCTTGAATTACTAGTAGTTTCTCGTTTCAATTTCATGCTGTTCTTGAAACATTTAAAAATCCGTTCGTCGGAGATCGTCGCGTAAAATATTCAAGAAGCTCGGGGCGAAGTTCAAGATGATCGGAATTAACCAAGGCCCAAAGCCCTCGAATTCATTTATCAACGCCGTGATTCGAGCAACTACCTCCTGGTAATTGAATTCCTTGGCATGTTGTTTGTCCGTGACAGATAACTGGAAAACGCGCCCGCGATCGATAAATGCCCGTAGTTACTTTTCCTTTGGCGGTTCCGCGAAGACGAACCTACTTACGCTGGTGACGGATCGATCTTGGGTATCGATCGTATCGGGCCGATAATGAGACACCCTCCGGTAACAGGGGCACGGTTTCATAGAAACGACACTGAGATCCGCATGAAAACCACTTTCACGGAAACAACAACTATTCGAACCCTTTTCGCTTTATGGGAACAGCTAGCTCCGTTGCATTCTTATCAAGAGTAGAAAAGAGAAAGAAAGAAAGAAAGAAAGAGAGAACGTGTAACTAGAAAGAAGCGTCATTGTCACCGAAGCCAACGTTCTATCGTTCTTCGAAAGAAAGAAGAACAGACACATTCTTCTCATCTCGGCCCGTTTTTTCACCGAACATCACCAATTATGAAACTTTGTTAACGCTTCGTTCACTGTCTTACCGTCTGTGAGGCGAAATATCGAAATACTGGATTCTGTACTATCAACGAACATCTCTCGATTGTTTTATTAGATGGATAAACCTGGTCAAAAAAAAGTTTCTTCTCCAAACGCAACGACGCTGCATTTCGAGGATCTCTGGTTTCCCTATCCGTGTTAAGCTTCCACGCGTATTTCCGTTCTACATACGAGGCGAGGGAAAAATCGAGGGACAAACCCTGGTTGACGCAACTAGCGTCGGGTCCCTCCTCTTTCCTCGATCCATCGAAAAGGAAAAAAAAAAAAAAAAAAAAAGAAAAGAAAGAAAAGAGGAGAAACCCTCGTGTGTCCCCTCTCGATATTTTCCCGCTCGAGAAAGCTGGCTGGCTCCAAAAATACGTGAACGCGCGTGTCGCGTGCCTCACCGAGTCCTGGATCTTCCTTCCTCGTGCTACGACCCTCTTTCTCGTTCGTGTGAACTCCCCCTTGGCACACTTCGTACGGCCCACGGAAAAACACCGATGCCCGGCACGTGGTACGGCCAACATGTTCCATCTACTTCCGCCTAGATCCTATCCTATCCTAAAAATAGGGCAGTTAGTGTGTGACACACTCGTCCGGGATCATGCACTGTGGGGGGAGGTTGCACCTTTCTACCGGCAGTTGCATCCTTCGGGAGAAACGCCCGATGGTCCGCGCGACACGTGCGCTCGTTTCGAACGCGATTATTTCCCCTGGCAAGGCTGGCAAAAGTGAAGAAACGTGTATCGACGACAATCGACGTGGCGCGCGTTTCTTCCGTATACGTTTCAAGCACCGTGTCTTCTTGCGAAGTTGTGAAATTAAATTTGAATTATGAATGAACGCAACGCATTACTAAATTACTGTGTGTTACGTATTTGTGCCGTTATTATTGTACATGTTATTTAATAAATATTGTAACAAGTATCTATCTCTGTCCACGATACTTTCCCGTACTTTCAGAAACATTTTCTAAATTTTCTGCATATATCCAATTAGCAATACTATCTGCAATCACTCAGACAATTTATAGAATTTCAACTATATGGAATAAAGTAACAATTATCTGTACTTCAATATGAATTATAGTCATAACTGGGATTTTCATATATATATTTATTTTAACTGGGATTTTCATATATATATACTTAGTTTATTCCATGTAGTTGAATTTCTATAAAATGTTTGAGTGACTGCAGATAGTATTGCTAATTGGAAACTACAGCGCACAATTCACAAGATGGAATATACTGATCAGTCTCATTTCTTTTTTTTAATATTACAATACCATGTGCGTTGGCACAAGTGAATAATGTATTGTCTAATCTTCTTCACATGTAATGAAGAACTACCAAAGCGATCAAATTCATAATTTTTTTTAGATATTATACATACATTACAGATGCAAAATAGTATATTTTCAGAGGTTTAAATGATTTTTTATAAAATAATACAGTAGAGTAAAAGTTCGTGTATTCTACTGTATTTCTATTTTTTTCACTTTGATACCTCTGATGAAAATTCTATGCCTTATAGTCCTTGGTAGTTTTAGTGTCAAGCAAAATCATTAAAAAATTGTTAACTATAAGAAGCATAAACTTCCTTTTTCACAGTAAAAAATTGTGTGTGGTAACGACAATTCCAGCTTTAAAGTGTCGCAATTTCCTTCGGCGAGCATTGTGTTTACCCCGCTGAAAGAAAAGCCAACGAACCTGACGCTCTGAATTATTATACAACGATCGAGAGTTAATTTGCGATTCGTACGCAATTCGCTCTGTCGTCGCGGGGCCACGTATTTAGGGGAAGGCGATAGGCGGGAAATATAAAAGAAGCTAGGCGAGCCGCGTTTGTTTCACGTGACGGAGGTCTCGCGGATGCCGGCGATTCTTAAAGTATTTTCGTAGGCTTGAGAAAAGAAAGGAGCCCATTAGTGAGATGAAAACGCAGTGGCGCGTCATTTTCCATGTTTCCCCGAATCCAGTCCAGGTAAAAAGAAAACGTTTATTCGTGGAAGGATCGCTCTGTCGACCCGATACTGGTCGTTGTTGCTGCTGCTTTTTCAAACGTGGTTCTCCTTCTTCTCTTCGCTTCCAGCGGAGATACTCATCGACGGTACCGCGTCGAATGACCTTTGCGAAACTGCCCCGACCGTAGACACGTAGGTCTTGATCTTCGTAGAAGGGAGGGAGGAAAGAGAAATCGAGTTTTCAAACAACTTACTAATCGTTGCGGCGTTAAATTTTCATTTAATCTTACGCGGCAGAATGTTTCCGGTCAAACGCTAGAGTACGAAATCGACAGCTATAAATTTATAAATGTACAAGCAGCGGCGCCAAACGAGTTAGCAAGTACTTGGACAGGTTTCCTATTCCTTTGCGGACGCATTCCTTTACTTTCATCCTGTTTAAGCTTCGCCACCAACTTTCTCCGAGTTCTGACTTACTTTAATTGCAGTTTCAATCGCTGGTAAAAGCGGGTCGCGTTATTAAAACTGCGGACAGTGTAGATAATTTTCAAACAATTGAAAGCCTCTTCCGCCCCCGTCGTTGGAACACGTGTTTCACGTTTTTTTTTTTTTCTCCTTGGTAAACGAGCAGGACTTTTCCCTAACAATCTCCGAAAATCTAAGAACCGGCGGAGAGATAATTTTAACGAAGAAAAGTAGATCCAACTCGACCATTTATTTCCTGAAACGATCACCGAAATCAGGGACACAGCGAGGATTAATTTTGAACGACGAAACGGCGCGACGTTCGTGTTTTGTTTTGAGAAATGTTCGTGCAAGTGGGGTTTGGACGAGGGGAAAAGTAAATTGTGAACGGGCATCCTTCTCTCGTATAAATACCTCGACGCAGGGAAACCACGATAAACTTCCGGCGAGGCGCGTGTGCCACACCGGAAACGGGGACAATCTTGTCGTCACCTAGTATGGAGCAACAGCCTCCCTCGTCTGCAACCCCAACTGGCTTGGCTCCTCATTTACCTCGACGTTCACCGCGGAACACGTTCTGTCTTCTCTCAAGAACACGTCCTGAACCTTCTATTTTTAAGTTTCTCCCGTGTCTCGAACGATCTTTCGTTCAACCCATTTGCAGGCGAATCGTCACCAAGCGCCGACTATTCCGCGATCGGCGATCTTCATTTATATGTCAGTCGAATGCCGCTGATGTCTCAACGTAGTAGTAGCATCGTGATGCAAATGGGTTAGTTAAGGGAACAGGGCCAACCGCCTAAAAAGAAATTTCCTCCCCGGAGGTGACAACACTGAAAACGTCGCGTACTTTCGACTTTTCATCGTCGAGTTGCCAAGACGAGAGAGTAAATATTGCTGTGACAGAGATGCGTTGCGTGGGACGAAACTTTTGGGTAGGTTTGGTAAATTTAGTTGCAAGAATTTCATTCTGAATTTTCCTTTTTTTTTTGAGCGAGGTTTTTTTTGACTATTGGTGTGATTATTGGTACACAGATACTCAAGAATGCTATACGATTCGAGAAACATTAGAAATACCAGAGCAGTGAAAACAGATAATTTGTAGTTTTCTAAAAGATCGTGTATTCTGCTCTACTATAAACTTATTGCGGTGTTTTAACAAAGTTTTAAAAATTTTTCGTTTTTCAAGTATACACTTATTTCAATCGCTGGTACTTGTAATGTCAAGATTGACGATTGACGATCTTTCAGACGTCGTGGCAACGTGCAAATTGTCAATATCTTTCTCGTTGCCCGAACAACCGAATTTTCATCCAATACAATAAACTGACATTTAAGTTTGCAAGTAAACATGGAACACTTAATTTTCTGACAAAAGTGACAAAGTCGATTACACTTTCGACAATCGTATATTAGTGCAAAATGTTTATAAATGAAACTTCGTGCATCCAGAAGTGAAATTTATCACAAATTTCGTCTATTGGAAAGATATGCTCGAAATCCAATTTCACGAAAAAAATTGCTAAACTGAATGAATCGGAAACAACAAAGAAAAAACGAGTAGGTACAAAAACATTTTTAAAAAGCATGAGAAAAGACAGGAATATCACAGTAAAGTCGTACGCAAGCAAGTACGTCAAGGATTTGGCTCTGAACTATTTCCAATCCTTTCGTTTGTATAATATTGCTAAATTGCAAAATAAAGAGGAGTGCAAACACTAATCACGTGCATATTTCAAAATTGAGATAACTGTGCGTGATGGAGATTTGATAAGTAATACGTGCTTGAATCGTGTTTATTTTCGACGGAGGATAATTGTCAAATTCAACGCCCACGATTTTAGAAAGTCGCGACACGAACCACCGAAACAGGAATTGGGACTTTAGATTTTCCAAACGCTAAGCTCTTTAAAAAACGAATGAACGGTGCGACACGTTTTTTTTTTTTTTTTTAACTGTATCGTTCGCAATTTTGTAGATATTACATCTACCGATAATTAATGCAGAGAATGAGTTTTCAACTTACCAGGATCTTCGACGATCTGTTGCACCAACTGCATAACTTCGTTGACGTTAAGTTTCGTTCCATTGTTGGCGGCAGTGCGAAACACCTCGACCAGCATCTTTCCGATTCTCTGTCTGCAACAAAAAGATAACAACACCACGGTTAGTTGGCGCGGTTTGCAACTCTAATTAAAAAAAAAAAAAAAAAGCATTGCGCAATTGAAACAACGAGAAAGACACCTACTTTTACTTTAAGTTAAAGGAGTTTAAAAGAAAGTTTTTGAATGTGTTTACTCATTTAAACCCCGGATAATTATTTTCGTATTTTGTTTCACAATTAATATACGATAAAATATGACGAGAATACAATACAACATAAATTAAATATTCAGGAATATTTCTGAATATTTTTACTTGCTGAAACCTCGAATGATTATATATATAACGAGAACACAATACAATATAAATTCAAGATCTTTTTTAACGTGTTATTTTTTTTATTCAACACGTTTCTTTGTCATTATTGAGTGTTTGTGATTACGCTCGTGGTTAATGATTAACCCATTAAGATACAACCGATAATTCGTCGCAAGTACTTTTCTAAGTACTTGAGTAAGCACTTTTAAATACTTTTTAAGTATTGCTCTTTAAATTTTATCATTCCTTTAAAATTTTGTACAATTACAGAACCGACATGATGAGTAACGACGGAACACAAGACGGAATTTCTTTGAAATTTTCCTTTCGAAGTTTGAAACATTTGAAAAGCAGAGATGGACGAATAATGACACATTTGCTACTAATTTCTATCTCAAAGAATGTAAAATACATTCGTTTCTATAGTCGTCTCTAACCCATTATTTGAGGATCAAAGATCGTTGTTTCGATTAATTTTCAATTAACTTCAGATGAATTTTCATGCGGCGATCACGAGCGACAATGCGCGCTAGATGTCGGGAAAATAAGCGAAAAATTGACGAGTCGCGTCTCGTTGCGAGTATAAATCCTGAAGGGATGGGAGCGCGAAGAAGGAAAGTCGCGAGAAAGGGGAGGTTTACCTAAGGAAAATTACATTTTCTCGGCGGAATCGCGGACGAATGCAAATATCAGCACCGGGGACGATAATTAACGGCGAACAGAGAAGTTCGCGTGGGGGGGGGGGGGGGGGGAGAGAAAAAAGTTTTTAACAAGGAACGATGGGGCCACGCGCCCCGGTGACGAAGCCTCAGAATCGTTCGCGTGTCCCCGAAATTCCAGACGATCCGGCCGGAACTTTTCGCCCCCCCCCCCCCCTCCACCGGCCAATTTCGTTCAAACTTCCACATCAGCGGGGGGGGAGGAGAAGTTGGCGAAGCGAGTGTACTTCCTCGAATCTTAACGATCGGGGCGGCAGCGGGGGCCAATCAGGCCTGTAGTCAGCGGACACAGAGGTCTGAGAGCGAACGGACGGCCATCGTNAAAAAAAAAAAAAAAAAAAAAAAAAGGGAAAGAAAGACATGGAACGCAAAATGTAGCGACGCGTAACCGGTGGTCGTGGTGGGGATGGAAGCAACAGAGAGAGAGAAAGAAAGAAGGAAAGAAAAGAAGAAAAAAAAAAAAGAAAAAGAAAAGGAAGGCGAGAGGTACAAGATAGAAGAAACGAACGAGATCGATGAAGTTGGATCGAGAAAGAGGAAGAAATGAAAGAAAACGGGGAATACGGGTGAAGACAAAGAAGGACGAAAAGAAGGGAAGAAGATTCGCGAAGAGTTCGATCCTCCGCAGTTTGGCGTTCTCGCAAGACTTCCTCCTCCCACTATGGCCGCTGCTCGGTCGTGGTGGAGAGGAACGCTATCCCCTCCGTTGTACGCGAGTGCGTGGAACCAACGACGCGGGGAAGCGAATCGGAGGGGTGCGGAACGTAGCGGACAGCCGCGAGACGAGCCGACCGTGCCACGAGGCTCGTAGAGCGATAAGGACCGAGCAAGCAGCGCTAACGAAGCAGCGGAGGGGACGAAGGAGAGTTGGCTCGGCGGTGGGGGGTTGAACTGGCACCAACGGAAAATCGTTTGCGGTACCCCACCAGAAGTTTGCCAGATGATCGGAGGTGGGGGGTGGCCGTTCTCCAAAGTCGTTGGAGAACCGGCAGAGGGATGGTACCGCCCGTGAACGCCTACTGTGTCGGCGCAAACATGGCCGCCGCCGGCGTCGTCGACGACGACGACGACGACACCGGCCACGAGGTCCGACCGCTCAATTCCCTATACGCGCGTAGTAGCCCTGAACTTCTTTCTTCCCTGGATCTCTGAATTTTTCGATGGCAATTACGATGGCGTACGACACGAACGAGAATCTGCTCTTCCTCCCCGCCTGCCACGGGGTGGTGGTTTTTCGCTACGACGAACGACGATGAATCGCGCGAACAGCGCGTACGGGGGGACGGGATGTAATTGTGTATATAAATATGGGTGGTGGACCCAGCCACCACCCTCCGGCCCAAAATTGAAGCACAACTCCGCGGGGCAACTTCGAGCTGCTGCGCATGTTCGTGCTTCAGAATGGCTCGTAAGATCGATAGGAAAGACGGCGGTTTCGTGACCGACGGGGCTTCGGGGGGCTGGTTTCGATTTTAGGGGAAAGTCGATTTGCCGAGGGGCGAAGGGAGGGGATCGGCGTAACGCGTTGAGAACTTCACGATTGACCGTACGCTCGATTTCGTGGTAATTCGATGAAACCACCACCTATAGCTGGTATTATTCGGCATCTGTCTCGGGCATCAAATGTTTTTTATACATTTTTGATTTTTTACAGTCGTCCCATCATACAGTGTTCAAACTAAATTCTTCTCCGAGAGAGATCCGACTTTTTTTACAATTGTTTCTCTGTAAAACATGACGACACTAAATTAAACGGATAGCAAAGCGACGAACGTGAAAAATTCATCGATGCCGACATTTTGGTTCCCGCTATCGATATTGAAGCTGTGGCGCTCCATTAACGTTATATTCCGACAGCAATAACTAACTAGCTGGGTTAGTTGTGCGTAATTCGCGTCGTGAAATTTCACTATTGCCGTGGCGGTATGTAGGAAAGTCTCGACGACGAGTCGTTTATGAGGGAAAGACGTCCGCGGGAAAATATATCGTGTCTTCGACGTCGCGTGTAAACTCTTCCTCGAGGTACACACAATGTTGTATTCAAGTCCCGTGCGCGCGTCTCGTATTCCGTTTGAACGAAGAAAAGTGGATTTGCCTGTCGTTTCGAGCAGAGAAGACTCGTAGAAATAAACGTGGTGTCACGTCGCACAGACGGAGAAATGGTAAAGATGAATCTTACATATCGTCGCTCATACACTGGCAGCAACAATTTCACTTCTAAATGTCTTTCTGTTTGTATTCATTAGAACTATACTGCGGATGTTCGCGCAATTTTATAACGCAGCGTAACTATATCCATGTTTCGAAAATCTTATTTCATCCGATTATTGTTTCAATATTAGAGAAAGAGTAAATGATTTATCTAAAATAATTATTAGTTTTATTAGATCATCTATACATCAAAATTCGCAATTTAACTTTAATGTTGTGCCAATTATCACTGCCTACTTGTATCTCGCGCAATTGATTAGGAAACGCGTTATTAAATTTTAGTGGAATGTTATCGCGAAGAAAAATAAATAAAAAAAAAAAAAGAGAAGAAATGAAAAGTGGAATTTTCCAGCAGTTTGTCACTGAACTTGGAACGAATCGATCTCAGAACCAAAATTCCTCTGCTATCGCTTGTAAAGATCTGAAATGCTGACAATCAACGCGACCATCTTAAAGTTCCTCGAACCATCAAACACGGTCGTTTGCTTCAATGTATTCGACGAAGTGTCGAATCGTTTCGCCATTTCACTCCGGCATTATAATATTTTTCTATTGTGCGTTTAATTGCGCTCGGAGGGACGTGAGTGGGAATTCAAAGCGGAACAGTAGGAGCTGGAAATCGCGATCTTAATTCGCAGCAATTGGCCATTCGACAAAGACAATGTTCCCCGGTTCGTTAAACAAACGTCGTCTGCGATCGACGTCGCTCGGGGGCATTGCCGTTCGGCGAACTTTACGGGGCAAGTTGACTGCGCTTTCTACTAGCAACCGGAAGTCAGCTGTTATCTCAAGAAGCTAGCCGGCACCGACAACGACAAAGCCCCGTCTCGGCCTCGTCTTCGACACGAGCGACCCACATTCGTCTACTGAAGCTCCGTTTTCCACGATCGTACGGTGCTTTCGTCGATGATCGACAGATCGTTTCAAATTAAAGCTCGAAATTAGATCGTATATACTTTTTAAATAATTAAATTGGAGCAACTATCTGCAAAAAGGATCTTACCTCGGGTGCAATTACACTTTATAAAAGTTCTCCGTGTCGCCGAACTTGACTCTTGTCGGTTGTTTGTTTTATAATACTTTTATAAATAAATGTTACAAATCATACACACACACACACACATATATATTTAATATATAATGATACATGTTCTGGTTATTACGTTAATCAGAACACGAAGCCTCGCAAGCTCACAAATTTCCAAACGACAAATAGCGAGAGCCTAAACTTTCGGGCGAGCCTCTCGAGCAAATCTAAATAAAGTAAATCGTCGTCCTCTCTCTCCACCCTCGTTTCCATCATGGCCAAACGAACAATTGTCCCTGGCAGTGTTTTCTCAAAGAGACCAGCGCCACGAGAATTCTGCGAGACAAGATAAATTCCCATGGGCCCGAAGGTCGTCTCTCTCTCCCCTCTCTCCTTTGACCTTTCATCAGGGTTCATTGGTAGCGAGGGGATCGTGCAAAAGCGAGGGTCGAAAAAAAGCGATGGCTAGGGTTCCGACACTCGAAAAACTCGCGTGCATAGTTCACGTAGGCTACGAAGTGTACCGGCTTCCACGTACGGGACTTTCCACCGGCTCGTCTTCACACGGTTTTCTAACCCCTGGATTTGTTTAGGCCCCCGTTGCCCCTCTCTCTCTCTCTCTCTCTCTCTCTCTCGCTCTCGTTCTTCCGCGTGAATTTTTCATTCTTTCCAGCGTTCCGTCAATTGTTTCGCGAAGGACAAACGCGCTAACGAATCAGTTGGAGAGGGAAACAAGGGCGACGATAGAAAGATCGTACACA